AGTAAGAGAAATTTAGGATAAAAATACGAACATGTTCTTGCATGAGGCCCATTAAGTTAAAATTTGGTAAGGTAGTAGCTGAGCGTGATTCCAAACACACAGCGTCAACGTCTTGTGTTGTGATGAGACTGAGCCTATTGTTATTTTCAAAGTTTAACCAAAACAACTAATTTCTCAATAAATCTTAAGGCCTTGTCACACTATAATGTTTTACACAACTTATGTTGACTTGTGAAAATTCTGTTAAGATTATTTTACTCAAATACGTTATATATTTGACTTTAGCATAAAAGTATGTATCCATCCAAAAGAAGCTTCTAGTATTTTTTAAATTCCATCTTGACATCTTTATTATTGGACAAAATTTTCATTAAAGTTGCCTGAAACTAGGCCTTTAGCCTGAAACTCATGGAAAGTGGCAGGTGATGAGCATTCTTTAAAACAATGCCAGGACTTTAGTTTCCACATATTGTGAAAATAATCAAATCGTAATAGTTATTGTGAAAGCTGGCTGTCTGTTTAGTAACATAAGCTCAATTTTCAGTTCCAAAATAATAATAAAAATAAATTTCTCCCATTTTTTAGACTTGCTTTTTGATCATATTAAAAGTGTAATGTTAAACTTCAATTTCATTGTTATGTTGAAGTTTTCAGCTTATTGCTGCTGTGCTGTGATTTGTGAAGGAATAAAATGTGAATTTTCAGAGCCTTATTATGTGTCACTGCTTTTTCTCCCCAGTAGAGCTGAACCAATTAGTAAAAAAACAAAAAGACATTTAAAATTTCTGGTTTGCATCTACATCTATTGACTTCGTAAAGTTTGTACATTTATTTAAACTCATATGCACCCTGGCTTTACAAGCGGAAGTAAATGACCAGCAGGACATTTATTGTCATCACCCAAGTTAGCTGTTTGAGTAACTATGCTAGCAACAAGACAGGTTGTTAGCAAGTAAATATTAGCAAATATGGATGTCACAGCTCGTATCTACACGGCTTTAATGTTAGCAGTGTTCATCATTTATCAGTACAGACGGTGTCAGGTGAGGTAAAGCCATCGGGACTTGTTGTAGGACATGAGCTGGAAGCTACATGCAGCCTGCAGCGCTTGTTTGGATCAGCTGCCGGGCTGCTAGCTAACGTTAGCTTCAGCTATGCTCCGTTTCCACCAGGGTCGAGTTCGAGCAGCCAACTTACCGAGTGCCTGGATTGAGGAAACATCATGTCAGCAGCGCGTCTTGTCGTGTTTCCTTGGCCTAAAACGAACTACCAGGTCAGCTAACTAAGCTAGCCAGGTCTCCAGATATGATTAAATAACTGGAGACGCTATTTGAACCCAGTCATCCTTTTAAATTGAGACTAAAGCGGCGAGAGTCGTGGACAGTCTTTTCGGTCGCAGGCTTAACGAAAAGAAAATGCCTCTTCAGGGTAACGACGGCGTGTTTCGGAATAATAATGCTACACCTCCCAGGGGTGGTGGTGAAGATCCTGGATGTTGACACACACAAGCCCCTGACTTTCCTCTGCTCTGCCGCTTGAAGGAAAGAGCAACATCACCCGGAACACAAACCGAGCAGGGGAAGAGCGGGCGCCCCGTGTGGCCAGAAGCGGAATTTCTATGGGAGAGGCCGGAGCATGGCCGGAGGTAGGGAACCTGAGAGACTGGGGCCAACAGTGGCACCAGGGGTCCAAAAGTCACAATGTCAATCTAGTTATTTATTGATTAAATGTACTAAAGAAAAAAATGACGTGTCATGGTCTAATTATTTATATCTGTTTTCCCCTTGACACTGTCCTGTATCTTTCTGATAGCTCATTAAGTTACATTTGGCAATCTGTGATTGGTTGTAAACTGTCACATGGTGTTGACATGATGTATATTATTGACTGAATTCTACTGACGCGCCCAGTAGCAAGCGTGCAGAACTTCCTGATTTCAGTTCTGTGTGTTTGGTGCTCACAATTAAATCATATTTGATTATCATATACACAGACCCTTCTGGTATTATTCCAACGTGTTTCTGCTTTTGCGACGACAGACGTATGGTGGGTTTTTTTTAGTCAAGTGAGGATTATAAATTCTACTAGAAATTTTGCAGTGGCTCATTCAAAAACATTTATATAAGTGGGCTATGTGGGGGGCCACTTAAAACCAAAAACCAGAACATCATTCCAGGAGATTTGTTATATTATTTGACAAGTACACCAATACAAGGGTTAGAGATTGCCTTCTGATTTAAGTCTACTTTAGTTTAATATTATTAGTTATTACTTGAGAAAACCACTGTCACTGCTTATTTTATTTAAGTTTGCTTTTTCCTAATTTTATATTTATTAAAAATGAAGATATGAGTTTGAAATGGTTTTCTTAAATTCTCTGAAAGAGTAGTTTTCCAATTCAGCTTTCAGCCCACAAAATAAAAGTTGCATAAACTTGTGTCCCCAGCTTTTACTGGTTTATGTATACAAACTATGTTAATAACTCTGTTTAACATGGGCATAATAACAAACATAACTATGAACCTGTTTTTATTCATTTACCAATATTTTGCAATAATTATGATGAAAATATTCTATTAATTCATTTGCATTTAAACCGAAGTCTGGAAATCATCTGGGAACCCTTGATGTTTTATGACCCACAGAGGAGTCCCAACTCCAACTGTGGGGAACACTGCTCTAAAACATTCAGTTATAATCCTTTTTTTTAAATCTTTTCTGAAAATTTTTCTTGACAACATTTATTTGCATATGCTATTTTTTCTTCCTTCCTAGGGTTCAAGTTCTCCAAGTTGCCTTCTATAAACCAGCCACTTTTTGCCAACTAACCCGAGATGTTTCTAACCTAAAGGGTTAAATTGCTGGGCACCTTTCAGGCCATTTTAAACTAAGCTTAAATGAAGACTATGATGTCCAATCACAAGTGAGATCTCACTAGGTGTGTTTGCTCACAATGGGTTATAGATAACGAAGCAGTCAACCAACTGGGGAGAAATAATAGTGTTACTGTTAAATGGGYACCAGGACATACTGGCATTTATGGTAACGAGAGAGCTGACTACCTTGCAAGAGCTGGCAGTCAGGCCCACTTAAAAGGACCAGAGCCTGCTATGGGCATTTCAACAACAATCTGCAGGACTGCCCTACAGGCATGGATCAGACGTCAACACTCAATCCGATGGAGGGAGCTGACGGATTGTAGACAGGCATGGGAACTGATAAACGGCCCAAATCATGGATTTGGAAAATCCCTTCTTGCCTTGACAAGGAATACTTTAAGTTCACTGGTTGGAGTCCTAACTGGGCACAATCTGCTCAACCGCCATAAAATGGTGATGGGACTCCAAGACAATGGTCTGTGTGATGCCTGCGGCATTGAATCAGAGACCTCTTTGCACTACTTAGGCCAATGCTTGGCTCTGAGTAGTCTAAGGGAAAGAATTCTTGAGACCCCTTTGTGGATCCCGAGAAGCTTAGAACACTGAGGGTTTCTAACCTGGTCTCCTTCATCCGAGGGACAAAAAGGTTTGATTAAAGCCCAGTATCTTTTGGGGAGAGCAATGGGCCCACTTATGAGGCCCCCGCTCACCTGGGTTGTACCCATCCCCAATTACCAATACCTACCAATACCAAACCTAAAGGGTTAAATTGCTGGGCACCTTTCAGGCCATTTTAAACTAAGCTTAAATGAAGACTTTGACATCCAATCACACGTGAGATCTCACCAGGTGTATTTGCTCACAATGGGTTATAGATAACTCAGCACCTACGACACTAAATTATAGCTCGATATTTGTAAAAACTGTTATAGCTGTTTACTGTAAGCTAGGTTCGATTGGCTGTGCTGACCATCTTGAATTTGGTTTGCTCCCAAAATCATAGAAATCAGACATCATCCAATGATTAATGCCGATACTTTTATTAAAATGTACGATATTTTGCTAACAGTGTTGACATTTAACAGATAATTACAAAGTTTTAAGCAAATAGGTTTCACAACGTTTAGTGTTTGGAATATGTGTGGAGATTGACTCATCTGACACATTTTTAACTCAATATCTGTAAAACAACCATTTGGTTTCCAAATGTTAGTTGGTGGCCATCTTGTTTTAGGTCATCACCATCAGTTTTAGAAGTTCGACTAGTGATGTCTTTTTGAATGTTTCTTCATTCAGTTCATGAGATATGCTAAAAAAAACTATTATTGCTCAACACCTTATTGAAATAGATGCTTTCCAAATGACTTGTTCTCAATCCAGGATGATGAAAGCCACTCACACACCATGAGCAAGTATAGGAACAAATTTATTTCAATTTAAAACAGATACCTTGTCATTATGTTTCTCTCTTAGAAGGCGGCAATGATCATAAGTCATGTTCATGTTTGAATGAGGATCAGGCAACAGTGGCTGAAACAAATCCATGAAACACTTAAAAAATATGGCAAGACTTAGGTAAATCCATAACAACAAACTGACTGAAACCCCTTCATGAAGGGCTCTATACTTCAGTGGAAACATCCAAGCCCTCAACATAAAACATCACATGCAGTTATTACAGTTTCTTAAAAAACAAACAGCAAATTATCTTTAAAATCTTCAATCTTAAATACAGAATAAAGTCGCTGAGTGAACTAAATCATCTATGCTTTTAGTGTCAGGTGAGTTTTAAAAAGGAGGGGGCTTCTCAGATGGTGGTCTGTCTGATAGTGACCACAACATTGGCACTTAGAGAGAGCCTGGGGAAGGGTTGGCACACTCAGTATATAATACATAGTTTACATTTTGGTTTACATAAAAAATAAAAGAGAAAAATAACACTTTATAGACATCACTATGTGATTGACTTTCTGGTTTCATTAAAGTGAGGACAAATAAATCAAGTGGTGATGTTTTAATACAAGAAAGAAAAGAAGGAAAGAAAAAAAAATAAGCTGAGCGTCCAACAACTCCATACTGATGTCCAAGAAATAAGTTTGATTCTAATTAATTTAGCAATGAAAAGGGGGACAAAATAAATCCGACCACCTGAAGGTCAAAGAATATCATCCCAAAACCTTATCTTACTTTGAGGTAACAAATAAATCAGTGTAGTGAAAAACAAAACAAAACATTTCACTTGTTAATGCTGCAAAACACAGATAAGGAGAGGAGCCTAAACTGTTTATTCCTCCTTTCCATCTCGTTTACGTTGAGGTAAAACACCACCACACAACACTGGACTGCGAACACACAACATGCTCACACTGACGGCCACCCAGCCTTTCACCCTGTGCCAGAGTCGTCGAGTCAAGTCGGTGAAACACCATGAAAACAAACACAGCTGCTGATCAAACACTGAGGTGTGTGTGTGCATACTGGCATCCTGCTCACAGCTGCAGTCAGTCATCAGAACGTGGTTACAGTCACTTTGAGCAGACTAGATAGCATTAACATCATACTGGTGCTATTTTATACATTTTAACCCAGTTAGTTTAAACTGGCATAAAGGAGATACTTCAGATCTTATGAAGTTTTAGGTTCTGTGGAAAGATGAGTCATATTTTACTTGTAGATGGCTCTTTGGGCGACTAGTTTAGAGAAATAAGAGTCTGATTCTGACAAAATCCACGTTAAATGCTAATCTGAGTCGTCCCAGACCAAATAGGGTCTCTGCTGGCTTCAAACTACTTTAATCTCAAATATTTTTCAACAGTTCATGCTAACGGCTTTAATGCTGCGTTACACCACTATTACAGTAGAAAATTTCACACGTTGTTGGGACTTGCGGTGAATTCATATGTGTTCACTGCAAGTCCTGCAGTTGAAAACCATTTAATGACTCAGATGTTTTAGTTACAAGAACATGTAATGCTGCTAAATCTGACCTTCAAATTCCTCATTTTCGCCAGTCTAATAAATCAATTGCTGTGCTCACCTGTGAGCATAGTTTTCTCTTTTTGATCTTTTCAAAATAAAGTACGGTGGCTTCTTTATTTTATGAAGGGAGGGTGGGTGGCGAGTGTTTAAAAGAAGAGAACTTAGCATGTCAGTATTATGTGCCAGGAAGAGAAACAAAAAAAAGTTGTGATGGTTGCATTAAGTCTTCAAATCCAACCATTTTAGCTAAACTTGGAATATTTAAAAATCCCTGCTGATAGCACCCGTTACGCTCCCAAATAACCATAAAGTTCTCTGCAAATAATGGTGCAAGGAAACGCTGATCATGTCGATTTTTATGAAATACTGCTTGTGTAATTCACTGTGAATTGTGTTCAAACTGAACGCTTTAAGGTTGAAGCAACCACTTTGGTCTTAGGTTGCTGTCAGCTCATCAAACTCCATTCTGAGGTTGTTCAAAAAGATATCTACAACAGATTAATTCTTCATTACAAAGCCCTATTTTGAATTTTAGGAATTTAGCTTTTATCATCTTAATTTTTGGGGTCTGATTCTAATAATGGGGGCAATTTTGTCCTCCTACATATGTGATCAAACACGAAAATAAAACAAGCCGTTATCAATTTATTTAAAAAATAAAAAAAGGGGGCATTAATATGTTTACAAAATATTAAAGTTCCTACTCCATGCATGTTTCCCAGTGCCACAAAAGCAGGGATGTACATTAGGTTCAAATATGCAAAAATGAACACCAGTATGATTCTAAAAATATTTCTTGGCTATTAGCTACAACTCAAATACTTGGGGAGTCATGCAATACTCGTCTTGGTAGTAGTGTCTTTACTGATAAAGTGTTTTCTACACTGCATGAAAAATTACAGGCAATACTGTGATACGGATGCAAATAACAAAATTAAAAAAAACGTAGTGAATATTGGATAATGTATTGAAGAAATACTTAAAGAAAATGTCTTTAGTGTTGGTAAACTCGCTCTACTTACACACCTTACATGTGTCCTAATACCCTGCCCTAAACGTTAAAAGCACAAACTGTAAATAATCTCTTTAGAAACAAGTATTAGCAGTGGATGACTTGGTTCACGGTGGTCCTGTACTCCACTCCCCACTGTCGGATGCACTGTGATAGCCCTTAATGAGGATGAAGGGTAAATTACCTGTAAAAAATATTCATGTATGAGACCCAAAAAGAAAAAAAAAAAAAGATATCTGCACTTCACTGGCACTATTCAAAGCAAGCATCCAAAATTGGAAATTTAACTTTTTTGTGTGTTTAGTTACAAATCGCAAGCATGGACCAAAAGGTCTTCAATCACTGATTAAAAAAAAAAATGTCCACCTATGTTTGTACTGTACATTTTTTTTCTAGGTAAGTAATACAGCGCTGCATCTATAACCCGACAAGAAAAATATTATTTAGAAAAAGAAAAAAGTTCAAGGACTCCTAAGGAAAACAAATATGGATGAAAATATGATGGCAAGTACAACTGGAAATGTCTATAAGAAATAGAAAGCAGAGATAAAGTTCTTACTATACCGGACATTCATTTTTTTTTGTGTTTTGTTTCGATTTTTTTTTTTGTTTTTACAGCAGTTCAGACTCAAGTAAGCTCTGTCATGTCAAAAGGCGCCCTTCAACATGACAGAATCACAAGCAGTCGATTTATCAACACTTTCATCCTGGTCCATAAATTATATAAATTAAAGAGAGAAAAATCATTTATTTACTTTTAAGATCAGCTCACTGTGAAGTTTTTTTTTTTTTCTCGAACCAGCTGTGGTTCATTTTCACTTTGGAAGCAGAGCTTGTTGCAGTAGTGCGGCGCTCTGAGGCGTACAGGAACGTGTTTTTCTCCCCGCCAGTCACCCCTTTGCTTCCTCTGCACCACTCGCTTCGGTGTAACCCTAATAATCAAGTCAACAAAATCCATAATCACAGTATCAATACTACCATAAATTCATAGGAGAAAACTGTATGCTATAAAGTTATTTTTTGTTGTATTTTAAACCAAAGATGGTGTACCACAGAGCACTTTTGTACACGAGTGTTTTTTGTTTATATATTTACAAATAAACATATGCAGACTTTAGAGTGTTTAGTGTGAAAGGCTCGTAACCCCCACCCCCCACCTTCTTCTCATTTCACAACAGCGCTCAATCTTTTGTTAATAAGCAAAGTGACTACATGAAAGAAGAAAAAAAAAAACAATAGAAGCACGTCCTGACGTAATGGATGACGACGTCACATCAGGAAGTGAGTCTGATTAGAAACGGCCGAGTGACGCCGAGTGCGACTCAGAGATTTCAGAGTGGGCGGGGCCAAATTTCCCGTCGCCCTCTCCCTCGTCGTTCTGACAGCGTCGCACTCTCCTCCGCTTCCCCCAATCGAGAGTGCAAATGGTCTAAAAGCTGGGCCTTCTTACCCACTAAAGAGTGTCGTGTGTACTCAACAACTGTGTCAGTGTAAACAGATGTTGCTGTGGAAGATTGTCCCTGTAAACCTGTACAGGAAACATCTGGAGGAGGGAAGCATGGGATTAACATAAAAAAATTAATATCTTAAAGATTACATGTCAATTTTACAGTTGCTTCTTTTTTTCCCCCTGTTTCATTTAGCTGATTTTTCTATTATTTTTCTATTTCTGATCCTCTTCCTTTAGCCAGTTTGTTTAATTACACGTTGGAACAAATTTTTATCCATAAAAATCTGGTTAAAAAATCTCAACAAACTGATTTTTCTACACTATTTCTCATTCCCCCTTTAAGTGCTTACTTCATAATATACACTTGTGTTTTTTTGTGACTGGGATGCTCACATCGGGGGTACATTCATAGGTGTGAGGAGGAAACTAAACCCTCAGCTTTGTCCGTTTAGGAATTTGGTGTGTGCGACCTCACATCCTGGCCGGGTCGCTCAGAAGCATCTCGTTTTCAGCACCGATGGTCCTCGGATGATAAAAGTTCCTTCTGCGTTAGTGGGAAAGGAGACGGCGGAGAAAGGGTTGGTCAGTTCTGTGGGGCCAGGTGGGGTAGGGATTTGATTATTTACCAAAATTTGATTTCTCGCCAGTAAAAGCTGCCCCCGAACAGATGCAAATGCCACAGAAACACTTCCAGTCTCTGTTTAGCCGAGTGGGGAAAGGTTTGTTTGCCAGATGAAATGTGCCAGAGCCAACAGCCGGGGCCAAATCTGACAGGAGGAGCAGCTTTGTGAGCTGAGGACTGTGACACAACAAGCTGCCGAGAGAAGAATTAGGAGGGAGAGAGGCTTTGGTTGAAGAGGGGCAACGTTTGACTGAAGGAGGATCTGTAAATACACTGAAGTGGAGGGGGAAAAACAAAAAAGAAAAACAGCAACAGTTGTGTTTGTGTGTGTCTGTGTGTGAGAGCCGGAGTAGTGTGCTGCGGGATGCGTGTGGAGTTGACGGCACCGTCCTACAGAGCGGGTGCCCCTTTTGTGCAATGGAGGAGGAGGATGTGCATGGCGCCTCGGGGAGCCCTCACACCAAGTTGTACTCTTTGAGATTGAGCTGCAGGATGGTGTCTTTGACAGCAGCAAACACGAAGCGGATGTTCTCAGTGTCCGTGGCACAAGTGAAGTGGGAGTAGATGATCTTGTCGCTGTCTGGGTTCAAGTCCACAAACATTTTGAGGATGAACTCCCGCGCTGCCTGAGCATCCCTCTGAGGACCTGAAATGTCGACACAAAGTGGACGTTAGGATGAAAATGAGCTATAGAAGTCAGGAGTCGGGTTGGGGAAATGATAACACTCAATCTTGGAAAACCAGGGGATTTGCTAAGTAACCAAGCTTATTCATTAGCTCTCAAAGGAAGTGTTGCAGATGATTTAATCTACTACCACATCAAATCTGAACTCAGTTTCTGTAAATCTGAATGAGTTATAAACATTTATGTGTTTTTAAAGGTTGTGGCCTTGAATCAGATCGACTGATTACTTTCTGCAAGTTTCATTCACTAACAAAGTTGAAAGGCAATCTGGTAGGATTGGGGAAAATTGTAGTGCTGTACCTAAAGATTATTTTCTAATCGATCAATCTAATGATTATTTTTTTCGATTAATCGATTATTCTAACAACAAATCTATAGGTTTTTATGATGTGAGTTATTATTTATTATTATTTATTCTTTAATATTGTAATATATTTTTAATAGTTTTTTCATGAACACAAAATATGCACTTGAGTCAATTCTTTAACAACAAAAGCTTAAGTTTTAACATCAAACATAAAATCTCAACCAAAGCATATAAAATTCAAGTAAAAGAAATACGGTACAAGATGTTAACAATCTAACAAATGAACTAAATCATGCAAAATTCAAGTCACTCTGGAAAAACTATAATAAACTTTTATTTATTTTTATTTAACATTTCTCAATATATAAAATTTAACAAATATCAAGACAACATCCAACTCTTTGTATCGTAACATCAGCTTTTTAACTTATTTCTTTAAGGTGAAAACTGTTGAAAACAACAACTGTTTTGTCTTATTACACAAATTAAAATCCAGCTCCACGTGTTTCTATTGATGTCATTTCACCACTAGAAAAATTGTGTGATGGAGGTCCATGGAAGGGAAATATGTTTAAATCAAATAAGCTAAAATAAAATAAAATAAAATAAATAAATGGTATTCAAGCTACGTTTTGAACATCCAAAACACGCCCAGCGCTTCAAGCTGGCAGCTTGTGCTCTTTCAGGTCAGACGTGTTCGGACTGTCGGGAAGCGCCTCTGTTGTTTTCTTCTGCCAGTCTCTGTTTAATGGTGGATGAAATAAAGAAAGCGGCGGTACTTTATTTACTTTGAGCAAGCAAACGTCGTGTTTACAAGATCATTAATCCACCAGATAATTCAGAGGCAGTCTGTTGGGCGAGTTTTGGAGCTGCCGCTGCGAAGCTTTCAGACCGAGCTCTGTTTAAACTGAAGCAGCGGCTGCTGACGTCATTACGCTGTTAAGCGATGCTGCATTCAGGACAAGCAAGGAAAACTCACCACTCTTATGCCAATACGGTCGCAATGATGCATTTAGGTACCGAAATGGAATTGCATGAACATTCACGTGGTGGTTATGTAATACAGCGAATCGATAATAAAAAATCTGTGTCGACAAATTTACATAATCGACGTCATCGATTATTTCAACTAATCGGTGCAGCCCTACAAAATTGTATTACGTGCAATTTATTGTCAAAAAAACTCACTGATTAATATTTGGCACTTTGTGGTAACTACAATTAGTGCCATGCACAAAGCGGTCTAACAAGCATTTCTCTGGTAGTCTGCTTGGTGCTCTTTTCTTTCCTCCTTTAAAACAAATGGATCGTCTACTTTTTGTCAAAGATCTGACTCTGTTTTTATCCTCCATCTCTGACTTTGAGCTTCCCTCCTCTCCCTGAAATGGTTCTGATCGACCCATCTTTGTGTACGCAGCTCCATCTCCATCAGCTGCAGCTCCATCTCCATCAGCTGCAGCTCCACGTTTAGAAATCACCCCATTGTTTTGATTTAAACACACTAAAACTGACTAAACACTAAACTACACCCTAACTATGAAATTCAAACATGCTAAATATAAATCTTTCAAATCTCATTGCTCTCTGATTTCACCATTTCTCCATCGCTGCCAAACTTCATTGAACTTTTGCATCTTTTTTAGTCTTTCTGTAGATTTTTTGGTGCTTGTCAAAGGATTTCAAGCCTTTGAAGTCTGCACTTTGGGCACAAATTGAAACACATTCTTAAAGAGAGCACATCTTTCCAACTAGAGCAATCTAAAAATCAGTCATGTGACTACAACACACTAGCCTGGTAAAAACCAGACCCTTGTCCTTCACTTTGCTTCGAACGAGGGTCTGGACTCTCTGCTATAGAGCAGTGATTCTTGCTGGAGGCGTGGCCTCTGCTGAAGTAAGGCCTGGGCGGTATGACCTCAAATTCATATCACGGTATAAATTGAATCCCTTCATGGTAACAGTATATATCGTGGTAGAAAATGATCATAAAAATTAAAGATAATGTACTTTTTAGAGTGTTTTTTTTGCAGAAAAATGTAATCATAATCAAACCCAACATTTTTGCTTTAATATCTGCCTGCCAAACAATGAGCTTCTGTCTGCTGAACTTATCAGCTGCTGCTCTGCTGCGCKCTCATCTTCATCATCTTCATCATCAGAGCGTAAGCTGACTTTACATTAGCAAGATGGATTTACGACTGAACGAACGTCCACGTTTTTTTAATCATCTCTGTGGGTAACAATACATAAAAGTTTTTTCTCCGACAACTTAGGTGTGAAACAACTGCGATTGTTAAAGCTTCGCTCTGCACGACGTGCAGCAGGAGAGTCGGGGGGGGGGGTGATCCCGATGTAA